ACCAATAATCGCTTGCATTTCATATTCTATATTGCAATGTGTGAGTTTTTGTTATACAATGCAAGTAAATCATTTCAATGTTAACTGGGGTATCAATGAGAACTTTATAACGCGGTGGACGTCTTGATAGGAATAGAATCACCTAAAATGTGTTTTTTTTTTGTGCAAGATTTGAATATATGAAACGAAAACAATCAAAGTGAATAATGTGACACAGCTCTTTTTTTCTGAGTATCACAATATTAACATTAGGGACCACAGCCTGTGTTAGAAGAGTTAACTTTATCTGTGTTGTAATGCAACTCCCCACGAAAACCCGAGCACATTAATTGTGTACTGATGACATTAACGACTTGACAAAGGATGTGTTAGGTTATCCCGTCTTCTGGTCTCCATCGAATTTTATCATATCAATAAAACACGTGCTAATTCAGATGAACTTGATGATTTGAGATTTTTGGATTACGTTTGTAGGTTTGACTTCCCCTATTGAATATTAAAAACCCAATCAAATTAAATTTTAACATCGCTGAATTAAGACTGCATTGCTGTGTCGTCTTCAAAACCAGCTGGATATCAGGCATTGTGCAGGAAACGATAGTCTATACTAAGCTTTACGAATTATGAAATAAATAAATGTAATGATATCAGGCAGGACGCCGGGCGTCCATTGTAATTATCAATTTCAGCTAATCATTTTAGATTGTGAAGATGATTAAAACTCTCATGATGTAAGCCATGTTCAATGGAAGGATATCAGTTTTCCAAGAACGATCGTTAGTGTGTACAATTTCCGCTAATTTTGTCGTTAATCTAGTCATACAAAGCACATACATACACGCCAGTCTGCTCGTCGCTGGCAACAGGTGTGTCCTCTACAAGGTCCTCTTTAATTGTAAAACTGATGATTTAAAGAAGTGTCTAGTGTTTTTTTTTTCTCTTTCGACAAAGACATTGCCAAACTCCAATTCACCGGATATACAGAACCTTTGGGAATATAGACAAAAGATTTTACTTACTGGAATTGCATTCAGAATTATCCAATGATAGCGGAGCTGGTGCTCCCCCTGTATTCCCGACGAAGTATCAGCATCCGAAAAACTTGACAAGTAAAACGCCAGGGATCGCTTCTTTTATTAAGCGAGCGCATCACGGACAAAATCATTTCTGTGAAAGTTGGCCATTTTGACATTGAAAACCTATATTTAATTGTTCATTCACTAGTCTCGATTCAATGATTGTTGACCTGCTGTCGCACGCCCGCATCTCAGATGACGGAAAGTCCTGACGTCACAACGTCGGCAGTGCTTTATTTTTCTGTGATTGTCAAGACTTTATGTAGTGAATACACTCCGTCCCTTTCTCTCTATTTCTCGCTAGGTCTTTTGTGCATGTCCCTTTGTTTGTGTTTATGTCCTTATATAATCTTTTCTCTCTTTCTTTATTATCCTTTATTACCTACTGGTATTAGTAATTACATACTGGTATTCTGAACAATGTATACATGACCAGCTCATGTTTGTCAACAAAAAAGGGAAACAGTAGCCTGGATCGTCGAGGATATATACAAATGTAGGTGAACTTGAGAGGCATACAAGTAGTTTGTCATATTTCACTTATACTTTTTTATGGTGGTTTTTTTTTTGGGGGGGGGGGGGCATGTTATAAAATGTGGATCAAAATCAAAATGCGTCGATTCGTTGTTGAGCATGAAATTCCATTTTAAAATAAATATATTAATGAAAAATATCATCCCATTGAGTGGAAAAGGAGTTCTAGATTACCAAACCATGATAAACAGGCCGTTATGTTAATCCATTTGTCATTCGAAACTCTGCGTTATAAAATCGTTTCTGGTTTTTAAAATATTGATCATCGCCATATGTTACTATTAAATTTCAGCTTTGTTAACAAATACGCTATCAAATAACGTTGAAATCCATTTTATATGACGATATGGTCAAGCACGTGGCTCTGTGGCTGTGATACTGAGTAACTTCACTTAAGTTATTAATACCAGTTAAAGCTGAGATTCTTTTAAAATTTAAGAATACAATAGCTGCTGCGTACATGGAGCCCATACTTTCTCTCTACCAGAGGCCCTTCTAGCTGTTACAAGGCAAAGGACTTCGTCCAATTTTGTAATAGCAAGAAAGGGTTCTCGTAGACAGTAGCCCATGTCCAGTGTGCAGACTTTGTATTTCCACTAAAGGGTTACCCTCTACCAGGGCGACAGATTGATTTTTCACAAGATATTCACAGATATACTGTATCTTTAGATAAATAGACGGTCATTTGCCTATATTATCTGCCACCCTGGTAGAGGGTACTGAAGGGTGCTCATTCATGTTAAATTAAGCTGTTGTTTTGCTGCATACGTCAGCACCCTGAGTTCCTCATATATAAAAAAACTCACCTGTATTATCAGCAAAACCATCTGTCACACAACAGAGGATTTTCCGGCGACCTCTGAAACTCACGGTGTTCGCTAGCTGACCGAAATTAAAACAATTTTTTCGAAGAAAGTCAATTTATGCGGCTGGATACCCATCTTTTTTCTAACAACAGTACTCAGGGTCGAATCCGCCTTTGCAATACCGTAGATCTTGACCAGCTGATTGCTAGGGTGAATACCAGGATTTGACATCACAGAAACGTATTCACATTCAAAACAAATAATAATAATAATAATAATAATAATAATAATAATAATAATAATAATAATAATGATGATTATGATGATGGTTGGTGGATATCAGGTAAAACAATTTTCCAGCTGAAATCAGTAGGTAAACAGCGACCCGCTCTCACGTCTAAAATTTTAAGTACCGGGGTAATGTTGAGTTGGAAATAGATTGCTCAGAACACAATAATCTTCTGTGGAGATTTTTGTACAAGTCAAAACTTTTCGGACTTTTTAACACCTGGTAGTTGGTAGTTTTGACTGCCATGGTTTTACATATCTATATCATTGAATTCTAAATTTCGCCTTCATCCACATGCTAGATTAAGTTGACATTTACAATAAACGAATGATCTCTAAGAAACAGGTTTTAGGTGCAACTGATAAAGAATTTAGGAGGTATGCTCATATTTTATATTCTTAATTACTAGGAAGAAGGCAAATGTAAAGAGTTGATGTAAATAATTTTCTTTATACATGTAGAATCCAGTCAATTTTTTTCAAATCCTGCATATTCATACGCCGGTCTGGCGCCATTTTATCATTTTTTTTTTTTTTTTGGGGGGGGTGGGGGGGTGGTTGTTATCTTTTGTTCATGATCTGAAATATGAAAATTAAAAGCATCATTTTGCTTACTTTCAAGTGAGATGCTCCTAATAAACTGAGGGCAAAAATAAGCTTTGCAGCAATTAACAGACCCAGACCTTAGATACCGATATAAATATTGACTCAGTCGACATTTGTAGGAGTTATTGGTGAATAATAGGTAAAGTAGCTAGCGTGGGCATCTCCTTAGGCATGGTAAATAAACAAAAAGGCAAGTATGCTGAACCATCGATGATGTACATTAGTCGTTTATCCACCATGAAAACAATTCAAGTCTTTTAATGGCAGAGAAAGAAAAGGGGGGTTTAACCCTTAAAATATTTCTCTTGTTCAACTATTGGGAACGTTATGTGTGTGTGTGTAGAAGAAGGAATAAATTTCCTTTAGCTGTATTAAGAGGCCTGGTTAAAAGAAGGGGGGTGGGGAGCAGCCAACCGCAAAGCGTCTCAATGCCTCTTGACAGACGACATAACGGATCATCTGGGGTTTTTGGGGCACGTGTTTAGCATAAGGTGGAACTTAAAAAGCGATTTGAAAGTATTTACCATTTTCACGCGTTCCTGACCTTGCAAATAGAGTGAATAGACCTGTGACAAATTTTGTGTATCGGATGACAATGTGTGAGCTCAGCCTCATCGGATTACAGTTTAACCTGTAATGCCTTATTCACCCCATTTGGTCGACAATACATAAAAAATACGTAGGTGATGAAACGTGTGTGTGTGTGTGTGTGTGTGTGTGTGTGTGTGTGAGAGAGAGAGAGAGAGAGAGAGAGAGAAGACGGATCCCATAATCCCACAACATTGGCTCCTTTAAGTATTTTAATTATCTTTAAAATTTCCTTTAAGGCCATTCATAACAAAGATTTTTCGGATAGAAGATCGAGCACAGCAGCGATACTTTTTCTAAGATTATATAATATTTTGAAATAGAAACAATTGCATGCTACTGCCACGAAGCCACTTATTTTAGATATGAATTTGTTTTCGTATTAAAACCAGGTAGACAGAGAATGAACATGTGTATTATAGCCAAACCAGCTGTAACCAGTTAAGGTAGCTTCCAAAGCACAGGCCTTTGCCGTTAACTCTATAATAACGTTGGTTAATGAGCATGTGATATAAGGTCTGGCGGTTTTTTGCTTCTGCCAAGGAGTGGCTGGAAATAAAATTTCTACATAGCGGCATGCTTCAGAAGATATTCACTCAACGTGGCAGAGCGAGGCCTATCGGTACGATTCCGTGGAATTATCTCACTGTTAGGTCACATCTTAGTTCCAATCATTTCAATATCTCATTAGAGTTTCTTCTCTTCAAATGATGGCAATGTCTCTGTTAAATTACACTTTTGGTATGAGATCGTGACGTGATTTGCTGCAATCGGTAATTTATAGCCAAGCGCGCTGGCATACTTGAACTCAGCTGGACTCACTAGATTGCCAATGGTTTCTATAACATTTCGTTGGTAATATAAGCTATATGAGGACGTTAACTAAAATGACCTATCACATTGAGCAGAAGTGAAATGACACACTACAAAGCAGCGAAAAAGAAATAGAATAAGTTAAGAATTAGTATAAAAAGAAATATTTATCTGATTAACAAAAATGCCAAATATAAATGATTATATAAAACAGAATTTACAGTTCCTGGCGCAGAGCCAGTAAGAGGTGAGGTGGAAGAAACTTGATTCCTCGCGCGCTTCAGGTTTTCTCGTCTGCCAGAAGAATTACGTTGTTTGTTTGGGTTATTCTCAGGGAAAGTCAGATTGAGAGGGAGAGGGGGCAGCAGCAATACGTTTTTCGGTTAAGCTGCAGGTAAGTGGATGTGGCTGGTTTCTATCAAAAGAAGCGTTGGATTTAAGTTAAATATATGTTCCCTCCTGTATATAAATGTTCCTTGGTACATGCTGCGATAGTTTTCGACGAGTGTATAAATAGGAACTAATTTATTCAACTAATATTTCCGCAAATCTAGAATGCACTAGCAGAAGAGAGAGAGAGAGAGAGAGAGAGAGAGAGAGAGAGAGAGACTATTAAACCTCTGGTTGAAAGATAGATGTTCAAATTCTCCTATATCTACAGTATGAATAACGTGAGAAAATGTTATCCTAAACATTATCATTGTTTGGCATTGAGCTTTGAATTCACTGGAGTGTATCAAGCAGAATACAACCGTTTTCATGTATCCAGATGTGTTTTATTCAGGTAAGGCTAATCTCGACTGCAATCAAAATACAGGAAGTCTGCTCCAATCTGTCAGTGAGGCAGCTTCCATAAACTCACCAAGACCTCATTTTTGCTACTTTTCCTTTCTGATCAGGTAGGATGAGTGAAAGCAAGGGTAAAATGGCCAGCTTGTCGATGCCGGAGCCCCCAGTACAGCGAGCTCTGATTGAGCCCATGTTCCATCGGCCGTACATGGAGGGCGATTTCTGGTATGGCATAACGTTGGAATGGATGCACAGCTGGAAAACGTACGTCGGGATTCTGTCGAAGAAAGGCAGTCGTCCTGCCGGTCGTCGTGGGGAACGAGAAAAATCTTCAGACGGACAGGGAGCCAGCGGGGGAAGCGGTGGACCGCCCGGGGGAATCTTCACAGCCAAACTCCAGCACTCCCACGGTCTCGCCATGGTCCCCGAAGACGCGTGGAACACTCTTTTCGGCTGGTATGGACTAGCAGACGGACACCACATTGAGAAATGCGCAGTGTATAACTATGGAGACAAGGTTGAGATCGAAGTGAACCACAACCCCTTCAAAGTGATGTTATCCAACTCTCTCAAGGACCCTGCCTGCGAGTGTCACATTATTCGTTTTAGCAAGGCGGAAAGGGTGGGGCACATTGAGTGGAAGATTCGCGAAACTTTTCACGTGAAGCGAAGCGTTCAGACTCGACTGTGGGGCCGACTGGAAGGGGAAGACTGGCAACCATTGTTTGACAGGGAAAAAACAATAGGAAAACTATTAGACATTGATTCAGACTTCATAAAGCCTGATTTAGCCTTAGAGGTATCGGACGCAGACAGCATTTGGAGAGGTCGACCTGCACGTGCTGAAAACACGCAAATGAACGCTGTGGGACAATTTTACAAATTTTCAATTTTTGAGGACTTGAGTCAATCGTGGGAGAAAGACGTTCACGATCAAATCGATCTCATCGGTAGGAACTTGATTCAGAAAATGCACCAGAATTTCAACAATTTCATGAACAGAGCGAGAGACAATCTCACAGAGAGAGAACTAGGCATTCAAGATAGCGAGAGGCACTTAGAAGAAAGAGAAAATGAAATCGCAGAAAAGATGAAGTTACTGGAAGAAAGGGAAGTAAAACTCGGGGCTCAAATATCGCAGCACAATCAGAATGTCGTCGCTTTCAATAAAGACCGCGAGGTTATGGTGGCCCAAATGGAAGAAGAACGACAGGAATTAAAGAAGAACCGCGACGAGTTTGAAACAGAGAAAAAAGATTTTCAAGATGAGTTAAAGGTAGGCTGATTTTGTTTAGATTCCCATGCTCCTTCCATGTATATTTAGTTCAGTGATGCCTTACCAATAGCTGTATACATACCAGGTGCATGTTTTCCAGATTTCTGATTGACAAAAAGAAGCTTGTGCCAATGTAGTAGGGTTAAGAAAACGAAAAAGTACCTGCACAATGGCTATTTACATGTAGATTCATGAACCTTTTTGGAATGAATCCATACGAACTGTTTATAGCGGAATATGCTATGCTTGCCTATGCTTATAGTTCATGCATTGGTTTGTACTGTGTATATTTTGGCAAGCTCATGATAGCGTCTATTTGGTAATGACCTCTATGTAATCCAGGTATAGGACGAGCACCTGCAGAACGCCGGTTGAATATTTGCAAGAAAGCCGCGGCATTTACCCATTAGACGCGAAATGCCTATTACTTTACATCAGCAGGTTTCACCTGTTGAGAGTTTAAAAAACTACAGGTGTCTCCTCTGACGCAATCTGTCTGAGTTCTCTATCACATTTTGCAAGGATGGTATTTGAGGCACTGAACTTCTGATCTTCCAAAAAAGAATACTTTTTGACACGTGCATCTTTAACGAAATACTGGGCATTTGACTACTGAACTATATTTCCAAAGGTAACTGCGTTACTCATAATTAGCCATAGCCAACCCTGAAATGTCGAGTCCCTTTCTCCCCTCCCTCTAATCTGGGAATTAAGTCGTAGAATGTATGCTCTTATTAAATGTTGGACCTCCATTTTATGCTCTCTCCTATCAAATTTTTGGATAAACTTTTCAGGATATTAAATTCAAAGAGAACATTGTTGAGCTGTTTGCGCGCAATGCAGTCACATGTTCAATTAAATTGCCTTATCACAACTTTAGTAATATATTCATTTATATGTATATTCATTATTATAACTTTTTTCAGAGGATGTCCCAGCTGCATCGAATCCAGGAATCGCGGGTGAAGCTAGACATAGGCGGTCAGCAGTTCACGACAGCATTGCAAACTCTGCAAAAAGAGCCATACTGCTTCTTCGCACGTATGTTCAGCGGGCGCCACAGCATGGAGACCAACGCCGACGGCAGCTATTTCATAGACCGAGACGGCACGCACTTTCGTTATATTCTCAATTACCTAAGAGATGGGGAGGTCAAAGAAGGGACAATGCCGGACAACGAAAGTTTTTATAATGAATTGCTCATAGAAGCGGAGCACTACCAAATAAGGGGGCTTGTGGAGCACCTGAAAAACCTCATCCGCCAGTGTGGGAAACCAAAACGTCGGGTATCCCCCGGAGAATCTCCGCCGGAGAGGTCCTACAGTACGCGTGTGTCTGGAAGATCCTCCGGGGATTCTCCACCAGGCAGATCGTATAGCCCAAGGATGCCCGTGAGATCAACTGGCGACTCTCCTATCGAGACACCGTACAGCCCGCGGACCTCGGGAAGATCATCGTACAGTTCTTACAGCTCCTCAACAGGCACCAGTTCATTCGGTGTTCGCTAGATCACTCGGCGACAACAGTCCTTGTGGATAGAGAACATGTGCAGATGCATATAACTCTACTATTTATGCACTGTAATGAATCTGTTTGTCAATTTATGAGAAATATGCAGGCAATTTTGTACATTGCATTGCATATTCAGGGGCCCATTGGTTTCTTTTAAGAAAGTTTCAACATGCAAGTTGACAAAATAAATGAGACCGCAGCTCCCCTCACATAGCATCTAGTAAGGGGTGCAATATGGCCCCAAAACGTCCCAATATTACGACCCAGATGGAGCTGATATGGCTTATGTGTCAACTTAAAATATCTACTGATTTCTCGATAAGTGTCTCCTCGTTGAGCTATTTGTACTGATACTGATACTTTACGAGTTGAAATCAGTTCATCACTTTTTACCCGTGCATGCTGGTATTTTTGGAATATATAAATAAAGTTGACATCTATCTTAAGCACACTTGTTCATATATATACATCGGCTATCTTGGGCCAAAGTTTCGTGTTGAATTTTACTCTAAATGTAAATAGGATTATAGAATTTCATTTCATGTCCATCTGTTGTACAACTTTACCACAGAGATGACTCATGTTGCTGGTCGTTCTCAATTAGTCGTTCTCTCAATCACTACGAAACGGACGCTAACCCATGTTTTCCACACATAGCGTTACTCATACCAGACTAATTTTATCTTTGGTCTTTAGTAGATCATTTTCTTCCACGACGTAAACAAAATCTGGAAATAACCAAACTGGAGGGCATAACATACACAAATAAGAAACTACCACGCGGTGTTTTGGTTCACGGGTTTTGCATGTATTGTCACACAAATCACTGACATGTCCATAAATGTCAAAGGCACACAAACACACATACGGGAAAAAAATCGGTGGGATAATTTATTAAGCATTTTGATGCGTCTTAAACTGTAAAAAGACAACTTGTTATGATACATAAGAGTCCTGGGGCCCATGTAATAAACGAAAACATGACATAAAATGGAATGACAAGCGGAATGATTTTCATATTATTACGCACACACTTTGGCAATCTGTCCTAAAGTTACTCCCCAGACAGCATTAAGAAAGCTTGCTTGGAAAAATGATCGAATCACAAACAAATCTACAAGTCTTTGAAATTACTTATGCCGTAGAATCAGAGAAAATGCAATAAAACTAGTAATAATAATAATGTTATTATAAGGTAACATTACAACCATACTGGGTGACAACAAGTGGGTTGTCCCATATTGCACTAGGTCACCACTCGGCATCTAGTCAAACACAGACACTACTCCGTGACACTTAGACATACATTAAACAATACCATAGTGCAGCTGGAATTTTAAAAAATTCCGACAATAGGGCGTTAAATAACAAACAAGAGTCTAATCTGAGGATCAATAACTGAAACTCGTAACGCCATAGTAAAATTATAATACGAATACCTTGCTAAAATGAATACTTTCAAGTGGTCATATAATAAAATATCTTATCAGAGACCTAATATTTTTTTCTTTTCTGAAGCATCGATAAAAGTATGACATGAATACGTTGCCAAAAGATAATGTGCGGTTATAAATCAGGATACTAAAACAGTCAAATCAATGTCTGTCAACTAGCAAATCACAGATTGTGTTAATACATAACTAAAGTTAGGAAAATCCCCATCTAATCAAAAATCACATTACTCACAGATAAACTCGACCATAGGAACAGAAACCTTAGTCCATCTCTTAACAAAAGTCAACGTCAATCCGAATACGGTCATTTGTAAAATTATCAAGTGCTCATTCTTACGTCAACTTCCAAGCCATAGCACCCGTCCATTAAGTTTAACCACTTTTACGTGCTAAAATTATTCGAGTATTTGTGTGGATAATATAAGTATACGCACTAATAACATTTATATACCTCTGGAGATCTCGGTGCGATTGCTAATAGAAATGGAATGGGATTTTGTTTTGATACACAGTGTCTTCTGTATAATAATAATAATAATTATAAGACTAGGCTTCGTGTATATAAAATGTAAATAACCTAGTTTTTCAGCAAGGAAGCCTCAAATCGCGTTCGTTGTGATCTTGCATAAAGTAACTTTTAGCGCACATTGTTTCAACGTCCAATGTACGTCGTTTGCAATACAGGTACATCACATAAAATGCTTGCACAACCATTTTGAAAATATTTCCAAACGTTCTACTTCTCATGCTACATTTAACTCTTGTCAAAACAAGAATGCTCCCCATCACGCAGCGCTCGCCTTGGCCTGCTTTTTCATTTGATGTTTTTGTTTCCTTTTGCGGATACATTTGACAATTTTATAAAAGAAAAAAGACGGCAGCGTGAGCGGGAGAAAGAGACAACAGGTGCACCACCAGCAGTATCCCTTATGATCTGGATCTATACAGTCATACTCCTCCTCATCATCATATGGGGGGTCCGCCAGCAGACTGTTCTCCGGTTGGGCCCTACTCCACGGCGTGTTATCATCCATATAGGACGGCACGGGCTCGACGTCATCGCTTCCCGTGCTAATGTCACTGAGGGGTGGGGCATTCGCCGCAGTGCGTTTAAGGTTTGAAACCCCCGACAGAGACTCAGTATCAGAGAGCTCGCTCACCACAGCGATCAAACTCTCGGAGTCTTTTCTTGATCTGTGACGTTTTGGGGCTGGAGACCCGTATGAGACAAGTGACTGAGTGTCGTCATCTAGTTGTGGGTTAAAAATAGATGATGTTTGAGAGACAGGCCTGGGTTTATATTGAGAGGGACTGGGGCGTCTCTCCTCCGCAGCTATCTTCTGGGCGAGCCGCTCATCCTCTTTTTCTAATTCAAAAGTTTCAAAAAGTTTCTGCGCTAGTTTCGCGTCTTCCTTTATCTGGATTTGCCTGTCGAGTTCCAATCGCCGTTGTTGCTCCCGTTCCATAAGCACTCGTTTTATAGTGCTTGCTTGTTCGGGGTCCTCCGGTTGACAGAAATTCATCTCTGCATCAGTCACAAGAACGGACTGAGGGTCCGGTGTTGGTGTTCTGTCCACGATGTTCAGCGTTTCAGGTTGGGATATTTTACTCGTTAACGATGTCGTTGATCCCAGATCGTTAGTTGTAGTGCCGATTGCGTCAGAGGAGCCCTGGTCTGACAAAGGAAGGCTGGAAAAAGGCGCATTGGGCTCGTTTGTAGGTGTAGTGGGTTCTGCATTTGGGTCCTTCTGTAGGTTTTTCACCACTGTGGTAAGACTAAGGGCGTTTTCTGTTTCATAATCGATCAACAGTGGCTGGGTCTCCACCGCTGTTTCTGGGTATTCGTGTATTTTGTCGTTTTCAGTTGGACTTTCCTCTGGTTGAAAATCGGATGACTGGAAGGGGGCATTTGGGTCTGTTGTCTCAGCCACTAATTCATCGCGTTTGGAATAGTTAGCAACTAAAGTGGTAAGTCCTATATTATCCGTAACGTCTATCGGTTGGTCTTCATTGTCATCGTCTATCAGACTCCAGCCTGGAGCGCCCGGTTCCTTACGACGAGGGCTGCTCGCTGATGCCTCGCTAAAATGTCTCACTAAAGTCGCAAGCCCTGCATTTTCACCGATCGGAATGTTTTCTAAATCAAATTCATCCTCTAGCGTAGGTGCGGCTCCGTCCGCTGGTGGATAATATATTGGAATGGATTCCACGGATTCTGATCCCACTGAACTAGTATTCATGGAGCGAAACACCTCGTCGCCATCGTCTTCATCTGGGGTCAAACTTGCAAGGGGTTCGCCATGCTCGGCGTTTTCTAACAAACGGTCGTGAACATCCTGTGCCAAGTGCTCTCCGCCGTTGTCGCAAATCTGAATGAAGCTATCTTCAGGCGGGGTTCGGCTGGACGTGTCATTTGTGTCTGTCGTACTGGTAGGACTGCGACTGCTGGTCGAGGAAGACTGCCCGCCTTGGGCCACGTACTCGTGTTCATCAGGAAGAGTGGCGTACTGGAACTCGGAGTTTGACCTCAGCAAGCAAGAGTCCGGAAATTCCACCAGGTGCACATTTAGCGATTTGTCCTGCACTGTCTCTGCCGAGCGAGCTCTCCGCACTGTTGAATCGTCAATATGTTTCTTCCTCTGTTGCGGAGACATTGCCTCGTCCCCTGTGCTACTTCTACGCTTTAAAGTAGAGTCCTCATAATCATCGGGGTCATCACGTTCTTGGCTGTCGCCCCGGATGGGCAGGGTAGACGCACATTCGTACTCCCCGCCTTTTAGGGTATGATCCTCGAAGCTATCATCAAGTTGATCCCCGTCAGAGCTACGGGTTTCGTCCAGTCTTTCCGAGCTAGAATCTTCCACGTCATCCCAGTATAGAATTCTATTCACTTCCCCGCGGACTTGAACGACCGGGGGTCGATTCTCGGGGTCTTTTTGGAGCATGTAATGGATTAAGGAGGCCATCTCGTATTTGACAAAACGCTCAGAGTGCGATAGTTGATCTACCTGTGGTAAAAATGTGTTTGGATTGTTGGTCAGGAATTGCCAGACTGGTTGTTTTGAACCCCCAGCGTCAACCAAAGGAGCTATCAGTTCACGGCCATCTGGCAGTGTGTGAATAGTGTGACAGAGGATGGCAACGTAAATGAGGCCTAAAGAAAACACGTCCCCTTTCGCATCGTACTGACCCTCATTAACCTCGGGTGCCATGAAATAATTAGTTCCCCAGTTTGTTTTAGCATACCCAGCTGAGAAGTCTTTCAAGGACACATCCTCACTTTTACCAATGAACTTCGACAGTCCGAAATCAGACAGTTTTACTACATATTGTCCGCTGACGCAGTCAATGAGGACGTGCTCGGGCTTGAGATCTCTATGAATAAGGCCCTTAGAGTGTAGATAGGCCAGTCCTACAGCTAATTGGTGCATAAAACCGTAAACCGTGCGGTGATTATCATCTGCGAAGTTCAGCAGGTATTGATTTAGATCTCCTGCTGTACAATACTCCATTACAACACACGCCTCATTCTCTCCAGAAGGAAACCAGTCAAATCTTAGAATATTGTCGTGTTTGGGGACGTTATTTATTATCCCTAATTCTCTCAGCATGGCGGAGCGATTGACATCCGTGCACTTAATTACCTTGACTGCATAGTCTTTGTCTCCCTTTTTAGCCAGATAAACGTCTCCAAACTCTCCTCCACCTAATCTCTCAACAGGCTGGTACCCCTTCCTCTCCATCTTGACTCAGTTATATATCACAAAGACGCCAGTAGGCCAACGTATCTTCTCAGATGACGCCGTTGTCTGAATATTTGAGAAAAAAGTCAACAGGTCATGACTCGGAGACACTGAGTACAGCAGTGTAGGTCCCACCGCTTCACACTAGTAGTTAACTGCTGTCCGACAGCTTACATCCTTGTTCACCCTTCCCTAGCATTAACGTCATGCACTACGACATGTCGGTTATTTCCATGTTACTTAAATTTCAGCAAACACACACGCACAATTTGTGTGAGTCAACACCATCAATAAATTCAGAAAACACTGAACAAAAGTAGGCCACGCTCTGTTGTGCCACACGTAGTGTATATTTATAGGGCGGCTTATCTTGACCCAGTTATTGCCGCACAGCAGGAAAACTATTGTCATTGTATGCGAGGCCCACTTCGCTGTTGTTGTGCTGTAGGCCACAATACATCCATATTAAAGATAGGACCAAAACATTTCCGGTGGTTAAATGGTGTAAAATCAGCTCACTTTTTCTGACGCTTCCACCATCCACATCGATTTGGCCGCGCAAAGGTTTCTATTTTGAGCCCAGTGGAAATACCTTCACCAATTTACAGCTCAATAGAGCATATGTATGTATGTATACGGACGTCCAGATCAATAATGTTATCTCGTCTGCTAATATATTGCCAGAAATATGCGCAATATTGGTGTCACAGTAATTCTAACATTTGGCTCACGTATAAGTATACCTAACGTACGACTTTTAAGGGCCATCGTTCAAGAAAATATTAAAACGCCTCGTATCACGTTTACAAGTCTTTTAAACCGTCATTTTACTCAGTTACTATTTCCGACAGCCTTACTTTTGAATTAAACACAAAGAGATTTAAAAACTTTGAGTTACAAAATTCAAACAAATGGTAGGAGTCATTAATATTATCAAAGGTAAAGGGAATAGAGCTATGTTCTTTATTTCTAGATATACAAAGATAAAATGATTTCATTTCACTCTTATACTTGAACAAACACCGAATGAGATAACCTTTTGTTTATTTAACGTGAACATTGAGAAAACAAAAAACACATCATTATATAAAAGAAGCGACAAATGGCAAATATATACAGGCGAACCCAAGGACCCGGTATAAATTTGGTCCCAGTGCAAACTGTATGTAGTTTATCTGTATTTCGCGTCTAATCTTTCTACTTGTATTATGCAAAACAATATCATAATAACAATGTAGTTGTACTATACCCTTGTTACCTGTACATGCATGATACTTTGATACAAGATACATTTTAAAATTATTCTATAATGCTTCTCTTAAAGACTATGCTTGCGTTAGCGAATTTGTTAGTACCAGGTTAGATGTTAATAAATTTTCCACAAGCGTTACTGAGTGAACAGAAGTCGGCAATTTGTTTCATGCCTGTTGCGACCGTACTAGTATGCAGGCTTTTCCTTATTTCTACCAGATCACTAGTTGGCGTTAATATCCCAGAATAAAATTCGCCGAATCAGGCAGGTCACAGTCTTAACTTAAGCGAAGGCATCCCGTATCACGGTATTGGAAGCGAGTTGGGGGGAGTAAAAAAAATATTTTAACTCAAGCATATCCCTTTGATATGTAGATCTATATCAACATTTGTATCTAAAAAAAAAAAAAAAACTGGTGAAGGATTCCTCACCAGTTTCTATCAAAACGTACATCAATACCTGTGACACATGGTGCCTACTGCTACCCTATGTTTTATGAGCCCACAAAGTTATTCTGTAGCTAAGAGTTGTTTGTATACTTTCGTTACAACAACAACACAACATTACAAAAGAATACTACAATGTAGTAGTTTCAAATGTCCATATGTGATGTTCGTCGAAAATATTGACTGCATACACCAAGGGGAATTTTTACTCTAGTAAGCAATCAAATATGTCACATCTGAATGTGAAACAATGGTTTGGATATCTTAATTTCCACATCTGATAAGATGGTTATTCATGTAAAAAACCCTTGATCTTTAAAATAAATATTGACAACATTTAATCAGTAAGAAGTAATATAGAAAATAATATGTTATCATGTAAGGGTACATGTTTATACTATACCCAGTATATCATATCATAAAAAAAGTTAATACACAATATATACTAAAGTGCGACATCAGAAAATTTAAAATCTAGGCTGATGAAAGCAAATTCTTCCATTCAAGCACCCTGAAACCAACAAGTGGTGAGTTGGTGAAAATTTTGTTGAGACAACAATATTGCTATGGCTAATATTGGCTTTAACTTCATACAGCTGCATGGGGCTTGTGGGCACTGTGTCACACATCTCACTGCAGTGGTCATTAAAGGCAAGTAGTCGGATCCCAAAACTGTATGGAGAACAAATTATACGACCGTCCGAGCTGAAACAAAGTTCTTTGATGAAGCCCCTGCCCACAGCAGGCTCCTCTTTGAAGTGGGTCAAGCGTGGAATATTTTGGTGAATTTCTGGAGTATTGACAGATGCTTTATTTTTCTTACCGCCAAGAAACAGAAGAGTTCTTTCAATATGTTGGGCTCCTGAGCGAATAACGAATGTCACAGATTCTGTGTAATGTGGAGAGTTTCTTGACTGGTGGCGCCATCTCACACCAGTTGAAGTAGATGGTTCGTCATGATCGTCACTGTCGTTATGACCTGTGTCATTATCATTTTGCACCTCCCTTGATTCATCACTCGCATTACTGGAGGTAGATGGCAGTGGAAACACACCTGTGTTGTTAGCTTCAGTTGTTCTTGAGTCAGAAAAGTTTCTATTTCTAAGAGAGCGCCCACCAGATGTTGAAGCAGGATGTCCAGCTGCTTCTGCTCCTGTTGTCGTCTCGGGTCTAACGGACAGACTACCCCTTTCTGTATTTTGTCTTTCTAAATAACTTGAACTCAAACTTACATCTCTTGGTGTCGGAGACACAATGTTAGAACTGGCACTGTGTGAATTCTGTAGCCCTGAAGTTCCAGCAGAACGTGTCATCTGATACAGATCATTAGCGACTGCATCTTCCCCAGTGGCAAGGGCAGACAACCCACTAGAAAAAGCAGGGGACCTAGTAAGTCTGCGTCTCTGAGCACCTCTTCTTAGATAGACACCTGTAAATGGAAGGGGTATTTCCTCTCCCTCCTCCTGAGCAAGGTGGGCTGAGTTCTCTTGTTCCTGTTGTGACGCTTGAGCATTTTCGCCAGATGGAGCATCTTCATCTTCTTCCTCATCAGGCCTCCATCCCGGGCTACGTCCAGGTTGATCTGATGAATCGCTTCCAAATTGCTGAGAATATGGCAAGTTTGAATTGTCAACACTGATGGACAGCATAAACGATGGACTGGATGACCTAGATGAGGGAACAAAATTACATAAATACTAGTATATCACTCAGGTTTCCGATCAAAATGGTTTAGCAGTGAGAAAGTGAAAAAGATATGGCTACAAATATTCCATTTCTGAATATCTACAATCTTCACAATGATGTTATCAACACAAAGGAATTTTAAAATTAGATTCAATCAAATTTGAAGTGTTTTGTTTTAATATTTGTCCAAATCAAACAAAATTTCTAACTAAACACCAGCTGCTGGCCAAAAAAATATTTTGTACAATATCCTACAAACACACCGTGGATTCTCCGCTCTACTCGATGATGTAGCACCAGGCAATGTGACAGTCATGGACGACCTGTGAGTTCTTGCACTTATTAACCCCTCTGTTTCATCCTCTTCTTCCCCGTCATTGCTATCTCCCCCATCATGGGACTGGTTCTCCTCCCTCTCCTCCTCCTCCTCCCTGAACTTCTCCTGATCCTTGTCTTGGATATCATGGATGCAGCTCCACTGAAATAACAGACAGCAAGGTATAGATTAAGTTACACTTAAACCTTGCCTTTTTATAAACTCCTGTATTTTTCTAAATACAAGACTGGCAAAATGGATAAGTTTTGATTTTGGGAGGTGAATGGGTGGATTGGGGGCTGGTTTCACAAAATAATCTTGGACTGATAGTTGGTCTAGTTTTAGTCCAAGATTTTGGTTTACTTCTCTTCAGGAAACAGGCCAGTAACCAGCAAATTAAAAAGGGTGGTTTAGAGATCAACTTTCAGTCCACAGTTCCGAAATGAAACAGCCCCAAGATCTGCTGCAATATAGCCCTAAGCTGCAAAAGGTGTATGTATGTTCATGATTGGGAAACCTCTGTAGTGCAACAGATTTACAGCAATCATCCTGACATGAACTTAGACTCTCAAGTGTCCATGCACACAGGATATAGTTATGTATCTCTTAGCTTTGTTTCCCACATCTAGATTGATCTAACAGGCTCGATCCATCTCCAAGGGTTTCTCGCTTAATTGCTTTCCGCTTAAGTGGCCTAGACATCTGGCACACCAACTGAAGCTGCTAAACTATATTTAATTACCCCCTAGCAGCTTCAGTAGGCTTGCCAGACATCTAAGCCACTTAAGTTGATTGCAATTTAGCAAGAATCCCCTCGGAGATAGATGATCCACAGTAAGTATGATAAAGTCTGGGAATGGTCCCTTAGTATACTAAATGCTCTAAATGAATTCCATTTCTAAGGTCATTGACCTATTCACCTGCTGTCACAGCTGTCAGTTCACACAGCTGTGACTACCCCTAAATATAGACTTACTGACAGTAGAAATGAGGAAAACAAGGCCATATATTTAATAAAATATCAGACAGTGCTTTCCCTGCTTTATGCATCTTAGCCAAATACTTCAGTCTATTCATTATCAAAGGCACACACCACAATGAATCAATGTTACTGTTGAATCATATTCATTTCCTGTTATAATAATACTTAAATAGGTTAATGGATTTTGACATGAATTTTTCATGAATATATTACAGGCAACAAAAGCATTCAGTTCAAAAAGTGCAAAAAATGGTATTTTGTATTTGTTAGGGATAAGAGTTTCTTTTTAACATCCATAAAATGCTTATGTTGCTTTATCTGTAGAATTTGAGAGGGAAGTGCAAATGTTTGTTTGTTATAACACTTTTTGTTTGACAAGCCTAGGTGAAGATAAAATTTTGAATAACAGTGCAATTTTCAAGATGTAGTTTCAAAAACAAACCTCAGAATTTTCATCCCCACTGCTGTTTCTGGAAAGAGCACACCAACCCTGAGGATGAATCTGCAAAACAAAATCAGCATATAATTTAAAAAAATATATATTTAACAAGTTAATGATGTTTACTTTAGATTACTCAGGTCTTTCACAAATTTAGACTTCATATATAAGGGTGTGCCTGAGAAGACTTGAGAGCTGAGAACAAATATTATGTGAAAGCTCATCACCTGTAATGAAGAAATCATCTCTGCATCATCTCCCTCAGGGAAGTCACTGATCAGCTCTACCCTATTCCTCTCCCCCTCAAACACACGGTTATACATATACCCTTGTCGAATTGGGGAACGACTCATCTGCATCAGCCGGTACATGTTGGGCTTAAAACCACGTAGGTCCGAGGCCAGAGTGGTCAGATCTAGGTCGTGGATGACCATGAGGTATCCCCCGGCTGTGGCTATGACCAGTTTGGTGCCATCAGGAGTCAGTCTGGACCTCATTAAAGAGCTGGTGTGAAAGACCCTCTGGTACTCTACAGCACTCTCTGAGTATCTGTCATTTCAAAACAAAATGAGGATTAGGACACAAGTTATATTGTTAATTCATATATGACAAAGCATACATTTTAAGAGAATACAGGTAAATAAAAAACTTCTATATTAAAATGAAAAAGAAATATAGGGCAAATATGAAACACACACAGAATATGACTCAACTAAAAATCAACAATCTACATTCAACAGGCAGGCAAAATCATGCTCTATACTGAATGTTTAATAAGCAACTAATGCTGATGCATTTATATCTGAATAGCATATTGGATACAGCAGGAGAGAGCTTAGCTGTATTGCTTTCAACTAATTCGTGGATATGTCAATTTTAATACATAAATGTCTCATGCAAATTTACATTAAACTGAGTTTTCAGCTTTAGATGGAAGCAAGAATAGAAGGAACCATACAAATTCTTTCTTTCAACTAATATGCCGAAAATGTTAATCAAAGACAAACTAGCAAGGTGAAAATGGAGCTTTATTTTTTGACACTGAGTATGTAACTTACTTATTGATGTCCCAGGTATAGATGCTACCATCAAATCCAGAGGTAACCAGCAATCCCTGATCACTTGCATATTCTATATTTTTCACCTGAAGAATATAAAGAAACTGATGACAATAAGCTTTATTCAAACATGAGTCTGTCTTAAAGCCATTAATTACAAGAAGATTGTCTTCCTTCACATCCAATGATCCTTACTTTTTAAAAATTGGATCATTCTTTGATTTGTTCAAGAATATTAAGTTAAAATTATGAAACTAGCATAAATATATAATATTTACTTTTCCTGACCCCAGTATATTCAGTAATATTCAATAAAATGAGAATACTGTATTTTTAAACATATTTTTTCATTTAACGTTTCCATTATGTTACAAATGGTTTATATATTTACTTATATCTTAGCCAATGAAAGCTAGCCATCATTTTCTTATTATTTTTTTAAATTATCATTTATAAATTGAAACAAGGTATAAACAAGGCCATATCAAAAATACCTTAAAACAGCTTTGCTCTGTCCCAGTATTTAAATAAAGAAGCACATCATTTTGTCTATCAGGGGTACTGTTGGACCAATTGAGATGTATACTGTGATAAAGGGCATGACCCATGGAACCCACTTACCCAATTAGAGTGGCCTCTGAGAGTTCTGACTTTATTTTTGAGGTAGCGAGTGTCCCACAGAGCTATGGTGGTGTCATCAGAACATGTCGCAAAGGTACGGTTGTCCAGAAACCTGGGAGTAAAAGAAAGTTGGCAATTCATGCATTTATCATTATTAATTCATCACTCAGTGCTTGCAGGTAAATGACCTTCACAATATGGGTTATTTGGGCTCAAATGGTATTATTCATTTTCAAACAAGTTTTTATGTAACATATT